TCCCTAACGTTCTGTGATTCTGTGAAAATTACATTCTTATGTATTAAATTTCTGATGGTTATAACTAGCTGATGCTCGTTGGGGAAAAATCTTGTGCATATTATAACATTTTCCTTTATGCCAGTATTTGAGACTTACCCCATATTTACATAGTGCACTTGAATATGGTGGATAAAATGCTAGTTTATAACAATTCTGCCATTCCTTTGGAAAAAAAAAATCATGTTTCAAGATCACTTATAACTACCAGTGTAATAGTATTGATTTGAAAATGTTTTAAAACCCTAAGTAGAGCTACTTTATGCTGCATAAAAACAACCAAGGAAATCTGTGTACTTTATTTCATGTGGTTAGCCACATAAACCAGACCATGATAACAAAAACAATTTACATATGAAATTATCTACCTTTACTGTTTAAAATCTACCTGTGCAAGCAACACTGTTTCTTCTTCTAGTGTTAAAGATATTTTTTCTTACAGGCAGATATCTGGTCATTAGGCATAACAGCCATAGAACTTGCAAAAGGAGAGCCACCTCATTCAGAATTACATCCCATGAAGGTTTTGTTCCTCATTCCTAAGAACAATCCACCAACGCTGGAAGGAAACTTCAGTAAATCCCTCAAAGAATTTGTTGAGGCCTGCCTAAACAAGGACCCAGGCTTTGTGAGTTTCATCTGTTTGTCAGCGTATAGCAGAGAACTTGAATGGTTTACGTGAATTACACGAATAAGTGCAGTTTGGTTTTTCTAATATGGGGCAACATATTCAACAGCATCTTTTTATTTTTTTGTTAGAATCTAATGAGATTTTAAATATCTATACAGTATCAAGACTGAGGTCTGTATTTCTTAATCTGTGTATAGTGAGTCACTTAACACTCTCAAACATGGTAAAAAAAGATTTATTTTTTTCCCCCCCAAGAGACCTACTGCAAAAGAGCTCTTAAAGCACAAATTCATTTTACGAAACTCAAAGAAAACTTCCTACCTGACTGACCTTATTGATAGGCACAAGAGATGGAAGTCGGAACAAAGTCACGATGACTCCAGTTCTGATGACTCAGATACGTAAGTTTAATGAGTTTGTAAAATATCCTCTGCCCTTATAGGAGCCAAGTAGTTATTATTAGCACATATATTCCTGTGTTCTGTGGTTTTCTTGCAAATCACTCTTAATTCACAAGTCAGTAAGAAATGAACTTAGAGAAGGATATTTATGGTAGTGAAAGGAGAAATGTAATGCAGTGACTGATTAGTGTCAGCATAAATATTTTTGTTCTTTTAACTAAGCAGAAGTTAGAGGCAAAAACGTACTGTGCTATCCACATAAAAATGAGGCAGAAGATTGATTTATGGGGATGTAGATTGTTAAAGCCATGCTGTATCTGTACTTTTTTAGCCAATTTTTTTGAAGTGGGTAACTTGTCTTGCTAATAGGCTAGGGATGGACTGTGTTCCTCAAAGGTGTTCTAAGCTAATGCCTTAGCAGTTTTTTTAGATCCAAAAGTGAATTAAGTCTTCTAATTTTTTCCCTCTTCCCTAATGATTTGAAGTACTGTGCTAAAGGCAATTTTCAGACAGCAATAAAACAATTCCTGTTACTTGTTTATGTAACGTGGGAGAATGTTTTCAATCTGTAATACCTCTCTTTCTTTTTGAAGCTAATTTAACATTTAGGGAAGTGTCTTGGTTTCATCCGTGAAATATAAATTACATTACTTTTCATACTTGTCTTTATACTTACTGGCTTGCACAATAGAATCCTGATTTTGGTCTTGACTGTAGGTTTTATGTTTAGCATGTATATTGAATGAACATGGACAGTAAGCTGTAGGTAATAAAGCTGCTTCTCTTTTTTTCCCCCCTCCCTTGAAGGGAACCAGATGGCCAGGCTTCAGGTGGGAGTGATTCAGAAGAGTGGATCTTTACAATAAGAGAAAAAGACCCCAAGAATCTAGAGAATGGAGCAGCCCAGCCTTTGGAGTTGCAAAGAAATAAGGTGCTCAAAATATTGACTGTATTATATAAGGAGATAATTCTTGCTTTAATGTAGTGGGGTGATTTTTATTTTATACATCTGAAAATTTTACAATTTAAATTATTTTAAAACTTTTGCTAAAAATGCTTATTCTACAGTTGTCTTTCTCAAAATGTTTTGAGTATGTCTTGAAGTTTGGGTATTCTGTAAATGTGTCTATAGTTTTCTATAGTTCATGAAATATGTACCAAAATATTTCTGTAGTTTGTGAAGGAAGGAGGAAGACCAGGCAATATTTTATTTTTAAAATATTCCTTCTGTAAAGTAGACTTAAGCCAGTGCAATACAAAGCTAGGTTGGGGTTTTGGGGAAAGCATCTGGTCTTTGAGGGGAAAGACTGCAATGTAGCAAAGAAGAGAATGTGCCAGTGTCCAAACAAATAAAATATCCAGAATAAGGGATGTTTAAGAGCTACTCCATGGTATTTTCTGCAGCCTGAGTGGCTGGGGCAAGTGGTTGCTACCCTGTGTCTGAAAATTGTATTCTCTTACCAGAACTGGAGAAATATAAGAACAATATTGCATCATATGGGAGGAACCTAGTAAATATCAGCATGTCTATGATTCAGTTTGTGCTCAGTAGGATTGTGGTGGGGAGGTTTTTTCTTTTTTTCTTTTTTTTTCTTTTTTTTTAATTTTGACCTTGTGCGTGTGTGAGGTGCCGCAGCCTCAAATTTTAATTCAGCCTCCATTTTCCACACTACTTTGGAATAGTTTGTTGTATAATATTTTACATGTTTGTATATACATAGAAACAGATTGCTCATAAAGTGTAACACGTTGGAACTATTTTTTCTTCAACTAGAAAGAGAATGCAATAAGGATGCGTTTGTTTTTTTTTTTTTTCAGAAATGGTCAAAATTTTGTTTTCTTTATAGGAAAAGGATATCCCAAAGAGGCCTCTATCTCAATGCCTGTCTACAGTTATATCCCCGTTGTTTGCAGAGGTAAGTTACTGCTTTAAAACTTAACAATTCCAGGAGCAATTTAAGATTTCTTGAAAGTGCTAGGTAATTTTAGCAATATTTAATCAATAACCAATTTGATATTCACAAGGTGATTCAGAAAAAAACAGATTATTAGTAAAGCAGAGACTTAATTTCAGATTTGAGACTGAGAAGACTGAAACTAACTTACCACAAGGTATCTTAAATCAAATGTATGTGTACGTACAAAGTATACAAATAAACAGAAATAGTTGGATCCAGGAAGCGTAGCTATTAACATTTGTAAAGGTGAATGAGCATATAGAAAGGTGAATGTAAGAGACTAGTCTGTAGTTAAAATTTCCCTCTTCTTGAGCTTAGAGCAAATACTCACAATGCATTGGCATTCCTCAGTGAGGAATTGAACCTCGAGAAGGACTGACCTTGCCCTGGCCCTGTCATGGGCTCTGTTGGTGGACGTACTCAGCATGTTATACCTGCTCTTCTGTAAGCAAAGCACTGACACCTTCCCTCTGAGCTCTCAGTTCCTGTCTGATCATGGGGTCCTTTGCTTCAGAGGGAAGATGAGAGAGTGCTCAGAGTACTCTGTTGATAGAGTTGTCACAGAAAGCATTTTCTAACAGTGCTTGCACAAGTGCACCTGCAGAGTCTACATATAAGCTATAGGTGTACAAGTATGTAAACTAAAGTTGGTATGTATAAGCATCACATCTTGAAACTGAACAGCTACAGGTAAATAGTGCATCTTTTTTGGTATATTTTGTTATAACTTTTCAATGTGAACATGCTGAAAAGGATATGTGAATGACTGAAGACTTGTGGAGATGAATGACATCCTGGTAACTATACAAAGACTAACTTCAGCCTGAAAAAAGTCTTCAGGATGTGAGTGTGTATAATGAAAGTAAAATCCTAACATTGTGAACACTGGCGGTCACTTCCTCACAAGCTTTTGCATTATGTTGTTAATAGAAGTATTTCTGAATATCTTATTACTATATCTGTTCCTGTTTTTCTTTCAGTTGAAGGAGAAGAGTGAAGTGTGTGGTGGTAACACAGATTCCATAGAAGAACTGAGAAAGGCGATTTATTTAGCGGAAGAGGCTTGTCCCGGCATTGCGGACAACATGGTGTCACACCTGGTGCAGAGGCTTCAGAGGTAATGAAACTGTTTCACTGAGGGTTACAGAAAACTGCAGATCTGATTCTACAAATATTTGGCTCGTGTTAAATTGAAAGAATTAATTTCTATTTATTATAGAGGAAAAAAAACAACCCACTTGTGCTTACGGTTTGTAAAATTGTGTTTGTTTAGTAGGAAAAATAACCAACCCCCAAACCTAATCACATCAGCAGTTCTGATTTCTAGCTTCAGGTGATATCCCGTGTGTACGTTCATCCTGTTGGTGCACACATTGTGTGTCAAATGAGACTGGACAGCCTTTTCCCTTTGCAGTTCCTGTAAGGGACATAGGTGCTTTTTCTCACTTTGATAAATGGACTGTTGAGTTAGTTTGTGTTTCTTTCAGTTGCATAGTAAGTGGTTCCTTGTTTGTTCATTAAGGATAGTCTGTGTGGCCTTTTGGTGGTACTCCAAACCCAACATTTTGTATAACTTCAAAAGGCCAGATTTCGTAAGAGATTTTCTAATTGCCTAGGTTAGGAATACATTCTTAACAAACACGCAATGTGCTGTTCTTTTAAGTGCTACACAAGAAAAGATCAGGGGTATAAATTTCAGAATTACTGCTTGAAGAGGCTTTAAATGCAACCTTGAATCCAGGAGTCAACAGCTGTTGTGAGTCTACACCATCCAGGTTGGATTGCTTGGTACTAGAAAAAACTCGTAGCAATGATTAATCACGGACTGCTACCTTGCAAAAGATCACCCTGAGCAGGCGTCTCCCTTGTACTGTCTCTAACCACAGCTTGGTAAAGTTTACGAATTCACACCTCTGAAGTAAAGCAGAGGATTACCAGGCTGACACTTTGTCATTCAGTAAAAATCAATGCCAAGAAATCTGTAAGCAATCACGTTTCCTGCTTTCTGGGCTGTTAAGCATGAAGCCCAGTCAGCATCTCTGGTGCTAAAAGGTCACTCCTTGATGCCAGATGTCCTGATTCTCCTTTCAGTTGATCCTGGCAGGCTTGAAAGAGCTTCTGGAGCTTCCATCTCAGTTTGTTTCCATTAGGGGTTCCAAAAGTGACCCCAGTCTTTCATCAGCCCAGTATTTCAGTGTCAAGTTTCTGTCAGCCTGATACGAGGCCTTCCTGAAACTGGGAACATCAAAGACTTTTGATGCTGCAATTGAAGCTGAAAATGGCCGTGTGGAGGCAGGCTTTCCTCTGGGCACTTCTGTTTTGGGTGCTGGAGATGATACTTGTTCCTGTCACAAGAAGAAGTCATCGTTTTTGTCCCAGGAGATGGATTTCAGTACCCTTTATATACCTGTTTAGCATTTTGTTTTCCTTCTGTTCTGCTTCCTTGGTCTGTAGCTGTTTTTCTCAGTCATAATGTCTTACAACAGTGGAGGCAGCCACTTTGTTTTCTTTGAAGTAAAGAAATACTCATAGAGAATGTTTGTTGATGGATCATATCTGGGTGAGCTTATTCCAGGGATGATACTTGGTTAGGATGTGATGCGACTAGCAATCTTTCTAGAAAGTGAGTGAAAGAAATGTATGGCAGGATCCCTCACTAAAAAGCAGTTGGAACCATTCCATAGCTTAGCAGGTACCCCTCATGGATATTTTTGGAGCTGGTCAGCTTCTGAAAAGAATACTACAGGAAATATGCTCTGTTACACCATTAAGTCATTCATTGTATCCACTTACAGTATCATCTCACTTTGACAGCTAACCACTGAAGATGGCTCTTCAACATCTTTCTGATGAGATTTTCATACCTCTTATGGTTGGTTAAAACTAGATTTCCCAAGATTGTCTGAACAAATTAGTTGGGACCCTCAGAAGAGCTGTCTGATAACCTGAATCAATCCATTTACCTTCACCCTCCAGTTTTGATCTCTGCTGTTTTATAAAGTTTATTGAAAGCTTAACATGATTAAAATGTGTGCTTCTTTCTTTGGATGATTTAAGAGTCTGCTTAGACCAAGAAATACAGGTTTCCTGCCCCAGTAATACTTTAGAAGGACTATGATGTAAACTTGCCAAGTAGGAAATCTGGAACACTTGTGCATAGGTTGTTGCTACTTGTTAGAAAAGCGGCAATGCTCTGATAAGGTGTATTTGACACAGTGGTCACATCCATGTGACATGCTGTCTTTAAAGCATGACAGCAGTGCTGGGTGTCATTCTGCAAGGAAATGCTGGAACTCCAACAGCATAAAACAGAGTAGCTGTTAGTTGCCGCTTGTTGTACAATGTCTTTCTGAAGGTCACATCAGTAACTACTTCTTTTCCTCCTCAGATACTCACTAGCTGGAGGAAGTACTTCATCCTACTGATGTATTGCTCCTGACTTTTCTAAGACGAGAGAGATCCCACGGTGTCTGCATTGAAGGCGCCCACCCTAATGTTGTTCTGCCCCTCAGTCACGGATATGTCCTCTGGTGGAAGGACTTTCCTAAACGTGCAAGAGTGAAAATGAAGTCTCTCGGATGGAGGCAGTCTTTTTCAGCTCCTTAAAGCTATAATTTTTTTTTAAATGATAATGCACATATTCCAGGGAGGTGTCTTTTTGTAAATTCTGAAATGTATATTTAGGTTTGTGATAGAGAAATTGAAGATATTGAGAAACCTCAGGTATCCTGCTTTAAGAATTCCACTGGGAGATGGAGTCCGTTTGTTGGGATTGTGTACAGCTCTGTATATAACGTCTTTTTTAACTGAAAGCCTTTCAACGTGCATAAGGAATCACTGTGTACAAAATGGTAAAGTGCTTCTGTAGATAATGTTAGTGGGGTAAATATTTGACAGGCCATAACTGAGTATTGCCTTGCCTTTATTCCATGTACATTTTGAATTATGTGATAAGTGGATCTTGGTTTGATTTTTGTACGTGAAGGATTTGCCATGGAAAGAGTTAATCCTGTTCTACAGAACCTTCTGTTCGGACCTCAGCAAAGACACAATTTTATTCTGTTTCTCCAGTATTTCTTCCTTTTAACTATTCTGAGCGTGACTTACGGTACTACTTCTGGTTGTTTGAAATTCAATACACCTTGTCTCTCAAAGCTTTACATTTAAATTATTGTTTTTCCTGAAGACTGAGCTCTTTCATATTTTCACTTTTAAATTGTGCCAACGCAAATTCAGAACACTATGTATTGTTCAATTTTAGTCATAGATAGTTGTGAAGCTTGTAGTGAGATTCAGGTACAATCTTTTTATCACCTGACCATGTTTGAATGCTCCCACAAATAAATCTTTATTACCTTCGTTTATTCTGAAATATCTCATTAAGACATTGGCTCTGAGACAGTGGCAAGTATTTCTCCATCATGCCTGTTTTTATCATTCAAAGGAATGCCTTGCAGCATAAAAGAAAAAGCTGTCCTTAGATTCAACATTCGGTCTTGCTGCCTAAAGCTGTGCAGCTCTTTACTGGAAGTGACAGATGTTAGACCAGAGGGGTGCAGATCTGAGCCCGAGTGCTGTATGCTGTGTCCTCTTACTCCTCTCCCCAGAAAAAACAGCTACTTCTTGAAAATTCTGAATTTTGACATTTCCGCTGTTCCCGTGAGTGCTCCTAAATAGCTGGCTTGCGGTTTTATAGTTCTTGGAAATAGTAACATTGGTTACACACACAATTGATGAGGTGGCATTCTGGTTTTCACAGTATTACTCTGAGGTTTACCTTGGTTCATTTTACCAAGGCTGTATTCGGGTGCTGCTTCTTCTGGTAGCTAAGAGAGCTTTTTTGCCTTGTTTTTAGTGAAGAAATTGATGATTTTATGTTTTGCATGGCAGTGAGGGAAACTTACCTGTTTAATTTTAAATATAGAAATATATAGATAGATACGAGTTTTGGAACAGAAAGGATTAAAATTCAAAAGCATAGGCGTATGTGCCTGGCTTGGTACAGAGACCCAGTTTCCCTCACCATTCTGGAAACTGGTGAGGTCTCCTTGCAGGACTTCGTATTGCCATGGTAGCCCTTATTCTATGCATATTGATAGCCTTAACTACTATTTTAATGAATTAACAGTAAGAGGACACTGTCATGCCAGCAGAGCTACGAAAGTGCTGACCAGGTTGAGACAAGAGGTGACAGAAGTGGGTACGTGTGCACTCATTCTTGTGGCCATGGTCTTGGACACAACACGTTTGCCAGCGTAGTGAGGTATCAATTTTCCTCTGTGGCTAAGTGAATTTAAGGTAAATTGAACAATGCATAAGTTTGAGCAATGGTTTGTAACTCCTCTTTGATGAATATCTTTAAGAGCACACAAAATGACATATTTAAACATTAAGGACGGGCTTACCCTTGAGGAAACGAGTTTAGCTCCACTGCTGTGAAATGCGCATCTGAATACAGCGCAATGGGAAATTTACCTGTCGACATCTCAGTATAAAACGTTCAGCCAGTCAATAAACATGGACTGTTACAGCATGTGGAGATCAACAGAAGCACTTGCATTTGAAATACAAATAGATTAACAGAAGCTTTTCCCCAGTCGTCTGTTAACATAAGGACTTGAAATTAAAACAAGCTTACTTGGAGATGCACAGAACTGGGAGATTTAGTGGGGAAGTGAAATTTATGGTGCTGGCTGGAATCTCAAGAGTTTCTCCATCAGAAAATTAAATGAAATTCTAAGGTTTGAACAATCATCTAAAAAGTTATACATACATGGGTTTTTTTGAGTTGCATTGTAGTTGCGTTCCAGGGCTGTACGTTGGGGAAATACTTCTCCGAGTAGATTGTGGCAGAATTTTTGCTTGGTGAATGTGTCCTTGGTTTAGGAGCTTAAAATGAGCAAGACCTGCAGCAAGGGCAATTGGCCAGAAGGCTAGGACAGGTAGAAAAAGACAAGACCTCATTTATGGTAGAGACGTGTATTTTTATATGTAACATAGAGATTATTTAAATATAGACTTGAGCTGAGAGTCACTGAAAAAAGCGTGCTGTATCTTGAATGTAAAATTACAATGATTTGCTATTGAAAAGTATTGATGCTTTAAAAATCAGATTGATGTTGGTAACAGAAGAGCTTCATTTGAAAGAAGCATGGCCTCGGTTTCTGAAAGAAAAAGAAGCGTATTGCTATTTTTGAGAGGTTTTTGTGCTAAAACCGTGTCTGTGATGCGATGTTGCACTGATGATTTTTCTGTGCAGGCAGTACTTCTTCACTCAGTCTTGAATACACTAAGCGAGAAGCTATCCCTATTTATGCAAACAGTTAAATTAGTGGAGCTGCTTATTTGTCAGGGATTTCAAGGTTAGGCAGTAAAGAAACTCACTGTTTAAAAAGAAAATCAGTCATTTGAACTGAAGGCTTGCTTTTTTTGTAAGTACCAGATGATATGTAATCTATTTTTTTAACTTAATTTCCCTTGCAGTTGCACTTTGTAGTTGATCACCAGTTTACTCACTCAAGGACGGCGGCACAGTTGCTGTAGTACAGAAAGCTTTCGGGGTAGCAGCAAAGCAGCAATTTCTCTGCAGTGCCGCGGTTCCTTGGCAGCTCCAGCCGTTTTGTGTGTGTGGTGTGTGTGTGTGTGTGTGCACGTCCATGTGGGCATGGAGAGATGAACCAAAGGCTGCATATGAATACGTCACAGCGGCATGACTCTGCCCTCACTGCGCAGGAGGGGTGGGCGGGAGGCCAGAGCAGGTGCGTCGGCCCAGCAGCCGGCACGGTGCAAGTTCACATTGTTCTGCTTGCTCTACATCACCTCCTTCCCCTGCCTGGGCTTTTACTGCGCTTGTGAAATGTCCTGTTTAGCGCTCGCTGCTTTGTGTGGCGTTCCGGATCATTTTTTAAAAGACGTGGTACCCAGTTTGCAATGGTTTTCCGTTAGCCTTACTTTGAAGGAAACCTATTTTTGCCTTCAAAACCCTCACCATTAGAAGCTGATCAGGAGTGCCGATAAGCACAGGTGTAATGCAAGGATCCGTACAATCAATCACAAATTATTTTTGTAAGTTGCTGGGGAGGAGCTTAAAGTATAGCACAAATCTGCAAGCTTGCTCTTTTTACCTAGATTTTGCAGATGTGCTGGCAATTGCACTGAGCATACGCAGTAGACAAATTGTATGTAATGGTTTTCTGCATTCTTCTGAAGCATGATTACAGAGGACAATTAAAGTGTATCTCTTGTTTTCTGTAATGTTGCTGCCTGTTCATATCTGTGTATTTAAATTTTACTTTTGTCACTCTACACCAACATAATAAAACTCCTTGTAAACGACGTGACCTAGAAATAAAGAAGGAAAAGTTTAATGAAATGTTGCCATTGAGTGGTTGGTTGGTTAAGCTGAGATTCGGTGGTGTCCCAGGGGGACGTTTTTTGAGGGTTTGTAGCTCGGGCATTGCCCACAGGTCAGTAACTGTACACAGAAAGTTTATGTACCAGTTTTCAGTTTATTGTCTCAGCATTTGGACAAGAGAAAAATGCTTGTTTAAATTCACTCAAACAGCACTTTCTGAGGAAGAACATTGAGAATATTTTTTTCTGCTGGGAATGGAGTGCGCTTGTCTGTCGCAGATGGCCTGACCGTGTGGGAAGCTCAGCTCTTGGCTTGATGAAGGCTTTTTTATCCCCACATACAAGTGATTGACGGTATGCTGTTTTAGTGAACCATGTGCAGGTCTGTATTGGTTTGGCCCTCAGTTTGATAATGTGCTGATTTACAGGTGGCAGTGATGTAAAACCCACTTTGTATTCCCTATCCCGCCAGCCCAATAATGCTGCTGAAGTGCTCACAGCGAGTGGCTTTAACTGGACCCCAACTACCGCATCCTTAATGACTGGGCTCACCCAGTGACAAACTGTGTCACAGCTGCACCCCATCATTGTATTTCATCCTCATCTTCTCCTGTTAAAAAAATGTTCGTGTCCCACACTGCCAATCTATTTTACTGCCAGCTTTTCCGTGCCCCCAGGGGAGAGGGGCATGGCTGTGTGCTCTGGCCTATCTGCACCTCCATAATTATGTTTTGAGAGAGAAGAGCATGTAATTGGGCCTATGGAAAAAAGGGGAAAAAAAAAAATGTCCAAAATTGGGCTTTTTCAGGTCCTGCTTGTTTCTCTCTCTCATTCTTTGCAGATAGGATTGTGGGATATTGCCCCTGGTTTTTGTCTCTAAAATGAGTTTTCTTTGCAAGTTCTCTTTAGTCGAAGACACCAATCAAGACTCCTGCAGTCAAGGTGTTTCCCTGTCTGCTCACTTGTCTCTCAGTCTCTCATTTTTGGCTGCTTCCAGCTGGATTTACAAAGCCCTTGAGGTCTTAGTGTTCAATTAAAATGTTGTGAAAACGGGTAGCCCCAAGCACATTAACAAATACTCATGTCCTAATGAAAGTTAAGCTGGCAGAAACACAACAGAGATGCTGCTTAGCAGTGTGGGATCACAGCCACAGGAGTGCAGGCTTTCCCGATCCTGCCATGTGGGGTGCAACTTAAAGATCCTGTCTTGCTTTTATCTGTTCATTATTTGAAGCCAGCAACTGACTGCTCAGGGTGAGTAACAAGAAGAAGAGTAGTCTTGGAGTGACCAGTTGTTTTTTAATTTGTTTGGTTTTTTCCCCTGCTGCTGAAACACGAGATTGGAGTATTCTGTGATGCCCGCTCACCTGGCACACACAGATCCCAATGTCACCACACCTCGCTGGATTAGATGGAGACCGTACGATGGGACTTGGGGCTAAAAACAAGTGGTTCCACATTACAACTTTCCAACAAACTACACTGTCAACTGACTGTAAGATACAGCTGTGCAGACAGTTGCTTTTATCCTTGTATCATTATTTCAGTTTTGGATTAACCTTAGGAATAAAAAGCTAGAAAAATGCTGACAAATGGCAGCAGTTCAACT